ACTTTTTAACAGAACCTGCCTTGAATTGTCCCTCATTCAGAAAGCAGCCTGGAGTAAAATGATTTGCGCAGCCAGACATAAACGAATTTAGTGAAAGTGAAGTGAAGTGACATGTGGCCAAGTATGGTGACCCATATTCAGAATTTGTGCTCTGCATTTAACCCAGCCAAGCGCACACACACAGCAGTGAACACACACACCCAGAGCAGTGGGCAGCCATATTGCTGCGGCACCCGGGGAACAGTTGTGGGTTTAGGTTTTTGGGGGATTTAAAAAAGGAGCGATTTTTTATCATTGTAGGGTGGGTTATGTCCACACACTGCTAAGACACATTTATATGCAAATGAACATATTTTGCATCCAATGTCTTCTTTAAAATTAAAATATTATAATCTTAATTCAAGTGATGAAGGATTTCGAAAGTCTGACAGTTATCAGTGTTGAGCACATACTGTAAGACTATAATCTTACCACAGCTTTTCCAGTTTACAGTGAGGCTTGTGTAGTACATCAGAGAGCAAATTCACTGAATTTCCTAGTTTATTCCCAGTCAGATTCAGTTCTCTCAGGTGTGAGGGGTTTGATCTCAGAGCTGAAACCAGAACAGCACAGCCTTTATCTGTGGCAACACACTTTGTACTTATGTTTTTATTTTTTTTCTTCCTTTGTGGAGTTCTATGCATATGGACCTCTGATGTCTAGGCCATGCTGTTTTGCTCATGATTTATTTTTGTTATACAAGTTTTTAGTTTATGGTCATACACTGGTTTTTGGTTTGAAGTGATTTCTTATTGGTTATTTTTGTAATTGATTTTACTATTTGAGTTCAGTTTGTGTCAGGGTCTGGCGTCTGGTGTTCTCCCTCTCACCACCAGAGGTCGCCATCTCCCATCCTCCCGGACTCCTTTTTCAGAGCTGAAGCCAGAGCAGCACAACCTTCATCTTTGACGCCACAATCACTCAACCTGTAGAGAACAATGACACACTCTTCACTCTCTCAGATCAGATCAGTTTATATGAAGGTAAAAGAGTAGCATAACTCGAGAGCTATAGCTGATTTGAACTTGAGAACTTGTCATAATAACATTCATATTTGTAAGTTGAAATTAACACTCATAGCTCTCATGTGAAAAGCTTCAAATCTTAGCGCTTTGACTTTTGCTACTCCTTTTGCGATATTCCTGCTGCAAAACACACTTGGGTGCTTGTAAATGCAGATGTGTGAGAGCAGAACTGGGGGCGGGGCTGGGGTGCCAGGATGAAGCCATTTTATTGGTCGATGCCTGACCAGTAAAATTGGATGGTTTCTTTGTGTGATCACGTCACACAAAGCAGCGGCACCTAGTTTGCCATTTTTGTAGGAAAGCCAGCTTTGGGAAAGCAACGGCACGGCAGAAGACTGCGGAAGCTACCGGCTCATCTAACAACACAGAAGACACGGTAAGCTGTGGTGGACAACAGACTCTCCTCACTCAGCGGGCGATTCACTGTCCTCCCGGCTCCCGCAGTGGACGACACACTCTGCTGTAATGTAATGGTCAGTTTCATACAGTAATGCACCTTCTGTATATGACCGAGTGGATAATAAGGATGATGTATGGGGTGGGGCATATGTATTTATTTTGCCCTTATAAATAGTGCAAAGGTTGGCAGCTTGCGTAACTTCCAGACGTTTTGACCTTTTCTGTCTCCTTCTGGTGTTGTGACCCTGAAGCGCCATAGCGAGGTATGATAGTTTTCATTCTACTCTTGGATAACAGCAGAGGTATGTGTGTGTGTTAGATAGTTAGGTTTGTTTATAGTGATAATACTTATATATAATTATTGGGTGATTTAAGAGGATTGTGTATTTTGACTGTTTACGACACGGTGTTGGATTTGCGTCGTGACAAGTGTTTTATGTGTGTTGATTTAACACTCACTCACACACAGCTGTTGCCCTTCCTGAGGGCTATTTATACACCTTCCCCACACCTCTCTGGGTGGATTATTAAGTGTTGTTAGGGGACTGATGCAAGCTCTACGTGGCCGTATTGTGTCAGAGTCCGTTTTCTGTTTCAAGCCTGTGTGTCAGAGTCTTAGCTCTGTTTATTTTCTGTTTTGACTTAGTTTTTCCCCTGCAGTCTAATAAACCTGCATTTGGACCCAGACCCCTGTTTACACGGTGTGTTTCCTTTACCGCGCCGTGACCGTTTGTACCGCTGAGGTCTATAACCTGTTACATGTGTTGTGAAAAGGGAGATTTTTTAACCAATTCTTCTGTGTCTTAGGAGTCACCCTGCATGGGAGCACTTTCCTCTGGGGTCATCTGGGTCTTTCCTTCACTGCATGTGGCATGAGATTTCCTGCACTGCATGGGTATCGATTTGAGAGCGTACAGTTATTTGTATTATTCACCACACCTTTTTTAAGTTGTTGGTTTGAGAGTTGGTCATCAGTGCAAGTGTGGTTTGTACTCTTGAGGATGTGGGTCCCTGGCCCAGTGACTCTTTCCCTTCCTACCGCAGGTTTGGAATGGTGGGTGATGATTTTAATATTCAATTTAAAGTCTAGACATCTTACACTTGTGAATATCTCTTTTAGAATTTTATAAATTAAAGTTGATTGTTTACTCAGAGGTTTCAATACTGATTGTTAATAAAAAAATTTGAACTTGAAGGTCACGTCTCTGTTCTTCTTTTATTTACTGGCTTTTGAACTTGTGTGGTGTGTTGCTGTGGTAAATTATTTCCGTGGGTAGAAATCCCCGGTGGCGTAGTCGAAATTAAGTGTGATCTTTGGATATTTACATTTACATTTGCATTTAGACATTTAGCAGAAGCTTTTATCCAAAGCAACTTACAAATGAGGACAGTGAAAGCAATCAAAATCAACAAAAGAACAATGATATGCAAGTGCTATGACAAGTCTCAGTTAGCTTAATGCAGTACACGTAGCATGTTTTTTTTTTTTTTTTTCAAATCATATAATAAAAACGAAACAGATTGAATGGAAAAAGCTAGTGTTAGAGATGGAAGACATGTGTTTTTAGCCGATTCTTGTAGATGGCTAAGGACTCAGCTGCTCGGACTGAGTTGGGCAAGTCATTCCACCAGGAGGGAACAGTTAATCAAAAAAAGTCTGTGAAAGTGATTTTGTGCCTGTTTGGGATGGCACAATAAAGCGACGTTCACTTGCAGAACGCAAGCTTCTAGAGGGCACATAAGTCTGAAGTAATGAATTTAGGTAAAGGGGTGCAGAGCCAGTGGTTGTTTTGTAGGCAAACATTAATGCCTTGAATTTTATGCGAGCAGCTATTGGTAGCCAGTGCAAATTGATAAACAGAGGTGTGACATGCATTATTTTTGGCTCGTTAAAAAATTTATCTTGCTGCCGCGTTCTGGATTAATTGTAAAGGTTTGATAGAACTGGCTAGAAGACCTGCCAAGAGAGCATTGCAATAGTTCAGCCTGGACATACTGGCGTGTGGTTCCTGATATGCCCTTTGCCAATAGGGTTGACAGGAGGATCTGGTGGTTAACCGGGTCAAAAGCAGTGGACAGATCCAGCAAGATAAGTATAGACTTGCCAGTCTTAGGGCTTCAACAACTGAGAGCAAGGCAGTCTCAGTTGAATGTCCACTTCTGAAACCAGACTGGTTGCTGTCGAGGAGGTTGTTCTGTGTGAGAAAGGCAGAGACTCGGTTGAACACAGCTGGTTCAAGTGTTTTTGCAATAATAGGAAGAAGGGAAACCGGTCTGTAGTTCTCTAAAAGAGATGGGTTAAGGGGGGGTTTCTTAAGCAGTGGGGTTATACGAGCCAGTCTAAATGTTGAGGGGAAAACACCAGTGTGAAGGGATGTGTTAATGATGTGAGTGAGTGCAGGTACAACTGCAGGAGAAATGGCTTGAAGGAGATGAGATGGAATAGGATCAAGCGGACAAGTAGTAGGATGATTAGAAAGGATGAGTTTGGAGACTTCTGCCTCAGAGAGGAGAGAAGGATGTGAACGAGTGTATGTTTGCTGGTAAGATGTGCTTGACAGATTGTGGTGTGGAAAATTGTGAACTGATGGTTTTAATTTTATTAATGAAGTACGTGGCAAAGTCTGGCAAAGGATATCACTCGTTTACATATATATGTAATTCCTTTTCATAAACAAATTATCTGTATCAACACTTCCTGGTTCTTATAGTAAAAAATAAATAAGACATAAATGTAAAACTGATTTAATAAGTTCTTCAGTGAACCAACGTGTATTTATTTACTATACCCTATAGATGAGACATTATAATATTACTCTGTGAAATATTAAATTATTAAATGGGGCAGCTCTGCTTGATGTTTTCACTAAAAACTTCTCAGCCAATCAAATTCAAGGACCAGAAAGAACCGCTGAATATATATTGATTATTGTCTGTGTACACATTGAAAGTTTCAACTTTTCACATCAGAACTGTGTAAATTTCAACTTTCAACAAATACGAATATTACTATGTCAAGTTCTCAAATTCAAATCAGATCCAAATGAGATCCAAAATGTCACAGAGCACCAAACAGGATCATAAAGCATTTAAAGTTTCATTTTAAGCAGGATGAATAATATTACCTCATCGCACCAATTGTCTGCATTTTTTTATTTAAAATTTTTTTGTCTCATACACAATCTGTTTTAAATAAATGACACTATTCGCTACCTGAGTTTACTGTGTTCTTTAGATCTGTACTCATATGTATGCAGCAGTGATTTTTGTGATTTTACACAAAGCAATATTTTAAAGGGTCACTGACCGTGTTGAGCTCGAGTCTGTTTAAAGTCAAGAGACTGAAATGTTGATTGTGTGTGAAAGTGTGTGTTTCAGTGTGACTCTCAGTCCTGCAGTATCATGTTACTGAGGAGCAGCTCATGTGTTCAATCATTTACAGCTCAATCAGCTGAACTCACAGCAGCAGAAAGAGACTCAACACTTCAAACTTACTTTACATTGTGTTTCATGTGTGAGAGTCAAATATCATCTTACCACAGTTTCTCCAGTTTACAGTGAGGATCCTCCAGTCCAGCAGAGAGCAGCTTGACTCCAGAATCTCCTAGTTTATTCCTAGACAGACTCAGTTCTCTCAAGTGTGAGGGGTTTGATCTCAGAGCTGAAGCCAGAGCAGCGCAACCTTCATCTGTGACGCCACAATCACTCAACCTGTAGAGACCAATGACACACTCTTCACTCTCTCAGATCAGATCAGTTTAGCAGTGAATCCATTATTAAAATAAAGTACAAACTTAAAACACAAATCAACATGTTTGATGGATCACTGGACTGAGATCTAAAATTTCACAGAACAAAAACATGAACCTGATTTAAGAAAGATAAATATTACACATTGTCAGTGGTTTAAAAATGACAAATATTAAATTCAATTTTTGCAAAGACATTTTTAATTATTGACAGACCTGAATAATTTATTCATATGCCACTTCTCTGACTCTGAATCTCACTGAGTCACTGATTTGATATAAAACCACTGACCACTAAACTCTAGACAACATCTGCAGCACTGAAGATTAATGAGCTTTTAACTTTGATTTTCTTAATGTTTTAACAGTGAAGTAATTATTTTCAGTGATACTTACTGAACTGATCTGTATTCTTTAATCACAGGCAGCAGCTTCTGAAGAACTTTCATATTTTCATGTTTATTTTTTCCTTTACCAAATTTATCAAGACAAAACTCATTCAGGTCCTCTTCTGATGTCAACAACACAAAAACCACAGCTGACCACTGAGATGAAGAGAGTTTGGCTTCCTTTATTCCTCCAGATTTCAGATACTGTTGTATTTCCGCGCCACTCCTCATAGACACACAGCTGGACTCTGCTTCTGATCTCTTCTGATGAACTGAACTATAACAGAGAGAGATTAAAGGGAATCCTTTGAATTACCATATTTAACAAAGTACATCTTCATTTATTATTTAAACAATCACTTTAAAAAGCACTTCAGAATAATTTACACTATTTTATTACAAAAAATGTTAAATAGAACTGAGTGCTTTCACAAATGCATCTCTCTGTGTAACACTATATATGTTAAAATATCAGATAAAGATATTTTAAGATAAAGATAACAATATTTTGATAATATAAAATGACATAACAGTAATACTATTTATATAAAATGCACCTGAGATCAGTCCTTGCATATCCACTCTTAAAATCAATTGGATGTTCCATAGACCAATCACTCCACGACACACAGCAGGGCTCTGCTTCTGCTTTCTTCTGCTGAAATGAACTACAACACAACAGATTTAATTAAATTAATTAAGTATTTTTAATCAAAAACTCTCAATGAGGAGGCTTTTTAAATAAAATCTTCATTTTACCTTAAAAACCTCAGCAGTGGAAATGGCATCGACTATCCACCGGCTGAGGGTCTGTTTTGAAGCAGGAAGACCTCTCTTAGGGGGACCATAGCACACAAGCAGTTGGTTCTCCTTTCTCCACAGGGCAGCTCTGTGGACATATGCGCCCAGTGCTCGCACTGGATACATACAGTTAAGCTTCTGCTGGTCGGGTTCTCTGAAGGGAGAAGGACAGAAGGCCTGAAGTACAATAGGCTTTGGTGTGACAGAGGGAACATAACCCACTCGAGGGTAGAGAAAAGCCTTGGCCAAGCCAGGCGCAAAGTCAAGGTAGGAAAGGGCCACTGAGAGGGCCTTCAAATCCCCAACTCTCTTAAGGGAAGAAATCGCCAGAAGAAAAACAGTCTTAATAGAGAGAAAGCGATCAGAAATCTCCTCAATATCAGCGCACCACGGAGGAAACGTGTGACTAGGGCGTGTCTGCCCACTGACTGTCCACCGAGAGGGGCGTGGTAGGCCGCAATGGCCGCCACGTAGACCTTCAGGGTGGAGTGGGTTAGCCCTGCGGAGAAACGGGCCTGCAGGAACTCCAGCACTGTACCAACTGGGCAGTTAACTGGGTCGAGCTGGCGATCTCCGCACCAAGAAGTGAAAAGTTTCCACATCAAGGCGTACAGTTTCCTCGTAGAGGGGGCTCTCTGGATTGGATGATGGTCTCAACAACCTCGGTTGAGAGACCGGAAGCTACGAGTTGTGCCCCCTCAGAGGCCACACCGATAACTTCCACAGCTCCGGGCAGGGGTGGAGAATCGTACCCTCAGCCTGTGAGAGGAGATCCCTCCTGACAGGAATCTCCCATGGAGAGCCATCGAGAAGGGAAATCAGGTCCGAGAACCATACTCGGCCCGGCCAGAACGGGGCTACTAGCAGCAGATGGACCCTGTCCCGGCGCACTCTCTCCAGAACTCCCGGGAGCAAAGCGATCGGGGGAAAGGCGTACAGACGAAGCCTCGGCCAAGTCTGTACCATAGCATCCAGCCCCAGTGGAGCCGGATGAGTCAGAGAGTACCAGAGGGGACAGTGCGATGTCATATGAGTCGCAAACAGGTCCACCTGAGCCTGGCCAAAATTCTCCATATCTGCTTCACCACCTCGACCAGCCTCCATTCCCCGGGCCTCGGCCCCTGCCTCGACAGGATATCTGCTCCCATATTCAGATGCCCAGGAATATGTATTTCTCTCAACGAAAGGAGTTTGCCCTGGGACCACACAAAGATCTGGTGAGCCAGCTTGTACAAGGGGCACGAACGCAGACCTCCCTGGTGGTTGATATAAGAGACCACCACTGTGTTGTCGGTGCGCACCAACACATGACGATCTCTTAGGTCCGGGAGGAAGTGCTTCAAAGCTCAAAACATGGCTAGCATCTCCAGGCAGTTGATGTGCTACGTGAGATGGTGACCGCTCCAAATCTGGCCACTGCATCCGTCGCTAGCGTTACGCGGCGACAAGGATCCCCGAGCACCGGGCCCTGAGACAAGAATCAAGGCTTCCTCCACATGTCCAAGGCACGTAGGCACATCGCCAAGACACATCGCCGCATGACCTTGATCATGCGAAGCGGGCTTCCCCTCAGGGAGAACCCCTTGGTCTTGAGCCACCACTGTAAGGATTTCATGTACAGCAGGCCAAAAGGTATCACGTTGGACGCAGCTGCCATCAGACCCAGCAGTTTTTGACATACTCGGCCCGGCCAGAACGGGGCTACTAGCAATAGACGGACCCCGTCCCGACACACTCTCTCTAGAACTCCTGGGAGCGGAGCGATCGGGGGAAAGGCGTACAGACGAAGCCTCGGCCAAGTCTGTACCATAGCATCCAGCCCCAGTGGAGCCGGATGAGTCAGAGAGTACCAGAGGGGACAGTGCGATGTCATATGAGTCGCAAACAGGTCCACCTGAGCCTGGCCAAAATTCTCCATATCTGCTTCACCACCTCGACCAGCCTCCATTCCCCGGGCCTCGGCCCCTGCCTCGACAGGATATCTGCTCCCATATTCAGATGCCCAGGAATATGTATTTCTCTCAACGAAAGGAGTTTGCCCTGGGACCACACAAAGATCTGGTGAGCCAGCTTGTACAAGGGGCACGAACGCAGACCTCCCTGGTGGTTGATATAAGAGACCACCACTGTGTTGTCGGTGCGCACCAACACATGACGATCTCTTAGGTCCGGGAGGAAGTGCTTCAAAGCTCAAAACATGGCTAGCATCTCCAGGCAGTTGATGTGCTACGTGAGATGGTGACCGCTCCAAATCTGGCCACTGCATCCGTCGCTAGCGTTACGCGGCGACAAGGATCCCCGAGCACCGGGCCCTGAGACAAGAATCAAGGCTTCCTCCACATGTCCAAGGCACGTAGGCACATCGCCAAGACACATCGCCGCATGACCTTGATCATGCGAAGCGGGCTTCCCCTCAGGGAGAACCCCTTGGTCTTGAGCCACCACTGTAAGGATTTCATGTACAGCAGGCCAAAAGGTATCACGTTGGACGCAGCTGCCATCAGACCCAGCAGTTTTTGAAACTGTTTGACAGTGAGTGACCGGCCTTCTCTGACTCTCGCGACTCCAGTGAGGATCGATGCAGTGAGACAACTGTGCCTGCATCGTGGTCGAATCCCACACCACGCCCAGATAAGTGGTCCTCTGTAATGGAGAAAGCACACTTTTCTTGGCATTTAGTCTTAATCCCAACTCTTTCATGTGAGTGAGAATGACATCTCGATGCCGGACCGCCAACTGCTCTGATTTAGCCAAAATCAAACAATCGTCGATGTAATTCAGTACGCGGATGCCCTGGAGTCGCAGGGGAGCCAGAGCAGCATCCACACACTTCGTGAAAGTGCGGGGTGAGAGTGCAAGGCCGAAAGGAAGAACCAGATATTGATAAGCTTCGACCCTGAACTCAAACCTCAGGAACTTCCTGTGATGAGGAAGGATGGAGACATGAAAGTACGCATCTTTTAGATCTATTGTGACAAACCAGTCCTCGGACCTGATCTGAGACATGACTTGCTTGATAGTGAGCATGCTGAAC